CCATTTAGCAGAGTTGAATGCATTTTTCACATCCAGCGCACAATATTTTTTTGTACCACCTTTCCATCTTTTGCCACTTACTGCTCTTTTCGCAGTGTCGACCACTTCTTTCAGTGCATCGATAATAGACCTCTGTTTTCTGAAGCTGTATTGTCCTTCTGATAGTCCGCCGGCTTCTTGGATTGCAATCTCCAAACGGTTTCTTATTATGCTTTCGTACACTTTCCCCATTGTGTCGAGCATACACAGAGGTCGAYACGAGGAGGGTTCATGTGGTGTTTTTTTTTTTGGTTTTGGGATTAAAACCAGACGCTGGACTTTCCAGGGATCGGGGGATATTCCCCTCTTTTATGCATTCGTTGTACATTTTTGCAAAACGAGTGGGCTTCGAAATTATGGCTACCTTTAGAGCTCTGTTTGGTATTCCGTCGATACCAGGCGCTTTGTTGTTTTTGATTTTTTTGGCTATGGCCAGTAGTTCTTCTTCWGTAACCAGTGGGGGTGATTCAGCAGCTTCGTTTCATTGATCAGCGTTAGTAGCCGGTTCGTGCGTCGGAAATAATGCCTCGACGACATTATTCATGAATGGAGCACATTTGAGTTGCTGCCGCTTATTTTTGAATTTAGACATACAGATTTTATAAGCAGTCCCCAGGGGTCTATATTCGCTTCTCCATAGATTTTTTCAAAATAGTTCCTTTTGCTACGGGTTATAGCTGACTTTAAAAGCTTTTTGTGACTTTTAAAAGCTTCTTTGAGACGGTTTTCGTTTTCAKCGTTTTGATTGCGTTGTAGGCGACGTCGAGCTGCATGACACAGCTTTCTCAGCGTGGCAATTTCTCCATTCCACCAGTATACGGGTCTTCGCTTATTGTGACATTTCGTCCTTCGCACTGTAACGTCGMATGCTGCCACCAGGTCCTTTCGCAGTGCGGTTACTAAATGGATGCCGCCTTCGCCTGGTGCTATTGCTGCACTCCAGGCTGTCTCAAAAACGTCAATGTCAAAATCTGTTTGCTTCCAGCTTCTTTTTCGTGTAGGCGCCCACGATGGTTTGAACCTCTGCTACCCCAAGCAATAGACCATGCATTAAAGTCACCGGCCATTATTATCGGCGATTTGCATCTGCTTTCTAAAGATAATTCAAGGAGGAAGTCTTCAAATTCTCTAGTGGATGCGCTGCGATGGGCATAACAGCTTACGAAATAAATTCCTCCTATTTGCGCCCATGTGAAGCCATTTTT